TACACATTTTATTCCATCCCTACATAAATATCTCATGTGCTCAATCCAGTTGTTATATCCAGCAAGTGACATGCACATACTTTGGGATAGACAGCCAGGGCTGGTCCCATCTCTTCCTTTTCTCATGCTCCGTAGTGCTTGAGACACCATGTTGTGCTCAGACTGGCAGCTCCTTCCCTTGTCCTTCCTGTGAATGGCTCATTTGCTGACTTTTCCAGCTGTCCCAACATATGGTTGCTCCCATTTATCATAATTCACGTCCCTGTGCCTGGGACACAGGCTGATAAAAATAATGCTTCACGCATAAATGGCTTTTGAGCAGCTTATTCTATAGCTCTGTTATCAAGTAAAAACTAATTTTTGACCAACCTAGGTTATTAGTGAAACTAATTTTAGCAAGGGATTTCTTATCAGTGCAGGTTTACTGGAAAAAAAAGTAGTAAACTGTAACAAGAGCAACTGTCCAATGCCACTAATGAGGTGGTTAACTAATGAAATACTTCAACCATTTCAGAACAGCGTTCATGAAAATGAGATCTGATTGATTTTTGCATGGATTAATAATGAAAATAGTACTTTTAAAAGTGCATTATCGATACACGAATATTTTAAAGCCACACTGCCTTTTTCTGGGAACAGTGTAATCCCAGTCTGGGTGTGTTGCCTTGAAAGTGGTGTCTTACCAATGAACGTGGCTTTGCTGTTGTGAGGCCACACAGTGGATGCCAGGCTGGACAGGTGTTGTTGTGGAACATCTATAGTTGATCACAGCAGGTTCTGAAGGCAGTAGGGAGGTAGCAAGGAGGATGGTCTGTTGATGAATGAGGTGGAAAGAGGAGCTTGATGGCTCAGGGAGTTGATGGAAAAGCAGCTCACTGTGGTGAGCAGAGTCTTCTCTAAATTAGGAGGTGTGAGGCAGCTCTTGGGGCTGATGAGCAAACACCACTGGAAGCTGCTGTCTTGCATCTCCCTCCCTTTTTGGCACCCTGCTCCATCTGCAGGAGCCTCGAGGGTCATCAGCCCTGCTGTTCCAGCGGTTAAAGGCCTCTCAGGAGCAGAAGTACTTGTTCCTGTGGCTTCTCCTCATGTGGGAGTAAAATCAGCTGCTTCTGGGAGCTCAGTTCCTTTTGATCCCTTAAGTGTCTCATTGGTGCTACTGCATTCCAGCTGCTGAATTCCTGAGTGGTCAGGAAAAGAAGCCAGACCTGGTCCTCCAGAGCTTTATTATACAGAGCTGAAAGCTCACTGATTCCAAGATGTTCCTTTTGCTTGTTCTACTCCCTTGTTGTTCATACCCTTAGGAAAATAAAGGGAAGTTCTATATTCAAACATAAACCACAGTTTCCCTCTGCAGCCACAGCCTACCCTTTGATAAAAGCCAAATAACATGTGTGATAACTGCTGTGTGTAGGCAGTGATCTCTGATACTCCAGCTAGCAAGGTTATGGCAGTAATACTGCACATATAGTGAGAACCCGAGTTCAAACACTTTTTTTAATGAAGATGGAAAGCATAAGAATCCAGGCCTGCATTAGGAACCCTGTCTTCAGCTGTGTATGGGAGGAAAACTTTGACATCACTGGTATTGCCTCCAGAATTAAATCATGCTTGCAAATTTATACAGAACTCATGGTGTTGTATAGAATGTGTTAATGAACAGGTGAAGAAATGAATGTCACCTTCTCTTTAACTTCAATGCAGAGAGTAATGGCATTCACAGCTTCATACTGGAAAAATAAATAAATAAAATTTTAAAAAGCAGTCCAGCAGAGCATGAGGGAGTGCTGGCACTGCTTTGCTCACAGAACATGGCAAGCAACTCCCTGCCAATATTTATTAGATTTCTTCTGGCCTCTCTTAGAGCAGCTCTAGAAAGGAGATAAAACAGCCCCCCTTCCCAAGGTGATGATTGCCATGTGGGTGGATGTGTTTGCAAGTCCGGGATAGACTCTTTGATCTTGTGTCTCCACCCTTGATGAAACTCCTTCTCCCTTTGCTCTGGCAGATGCTCCGAGTGCAACACGCAGTCAGGATTTAGGGCAGGTAGGTTTTGGCTGCCAGAAATCACTGTTGGGTCACTTCCAGTTTGCCAAACCCACGCTGGGGTCCGTGGGTGGAACAGTTGTTTCCGTGGCTCCCATTAGCCCATCTGAGCATCTTGTCCAGGAATAATGCTGGGGTCAGGAGTGCCTGTCGTGTCAGTCCTGCCAGTAAGTCAACATCTTTTATTCAAGATATTCCTTGAGGATTCCTGAAATCCATGATGTCATTAACATTTCCAAGCTGTCACGTTGATATTAGTCAGGTTGCTGGAAGTATTTACCCAGCCCTTTCCACTGGGCATTTCTGTGTCACCTCAGTGTAGCTGTGGAGTCCTTGGGTGCAGAAGAGGTGTTGATCTGCAGAGCACAGACAGGCTTTGCACAGGGCAGGGCTTTCCAGTTCTGGCCCTCAGACTCTGCCACATCTGTAACAAGGACCCAGGGAAATGAGCAGTTCCTGGATGGTGCTCACCAGGTACCTCTGAATGGGTAAGAAAATAAATCGGAGAGTAATTTGGCTGTGGAGTTACCAAGGAAACTGCCATCCTGAAATTTCATTGTGAAATTCTGCTTGCCAAGTGCTCTCCCAGTGGCAGGGCTTGTTTCCTCAGGTCTGAAGCTGATCCTGTACAGAACAAAGGAAAAATCCCTTTTGGAGCAGCTGCTGAGTCTTACCTGTATTTCTTGTTGTTGAACAGAGATGTGCCCTCCTTCAAGAAAGGAGATACCTTTGGAAAAATGTTCCAGATCAGAGGACAGTCCTGGTTATTAATTGTTTGTGGACATTTCCCTTCCATGCTCCTGAAGTTGAGCAGGATTAAGGTTCTTCTATAGCAATGTCTGAGCCTTTTTGTCAACCTTTTACTTTGCTGGCAGTCACAGAGCTACAACCCCAGCTGAATGCTGAGCTCTGTCTTGCTTTATCCCAGTTTGTTCACTGCCTTGTGTTTTTCTTCCCAATGTTTGACATGTTGCAATGTTCCAGAGTGAATTAGTAGGCTGTCTTCTTTTAGGAAAACAGTTTTTGGGGGCAGGCAGTAGCATTTGTGTATTCTGTTATCGTGGGTGGCCTTCAGCTTGCAGGGGTCCTTGAAACAGGAAGGGAGCTTAACTTTGGACACAGTTTTCCACTGCTGGGGAGGTTGTGAAGGTTTGTTTGGCTGTGCAGCTCTAATGTTGTTTGGATTTGCAATTCCCAGGAACAAATTAAACCTCCGAAGAGCATAATTTAAACTAGAATTTCCGTATTTTTGCAGTATAAAGGCTGTGTTAACTCCTCAGTGGCACTGAGAGCTTGAAAATTAATGTGCAGAGAGAAAAAGGGTAATTGTTGCTTTTATCTATGCCATCTAAAGTACGTGTTCGATTGCAGTGCAGAGCTGATACACATGAGTGATAGGTTATTCCCTCCATGTGTTTATTGGGATCTGGTTGCCAGCCTAAGTGCACTTTACACTATTTATTGAGATCTGCTTGCCAGTCTGAGTGCAGTTTGCAGTGCAGGATGTGCACATCAGTTACACCAGGGATGTATCCTGTTGTGGACGTGGAGATTTCCACTGAAACGTTGCAATGTGCTGATCCTGCAGGGAGGGCTCTGGGGCTCTGAGCTCACACTGTGGGATTTGAAAGGCTGTGTCTGGGACAGCAGGAACTCTGACCAGCCAAATTCAGCGAGATGTTTGAAAGGATTAAAGATGCCACTAAAGCTGCAGATACTGGAGCAGCACCAGACTGCAAAAGCTTCCCAATTCAACTACATCAGCCCAAAAGATTTAACACTGCTTAAAAAAAAAAGAAAAAAAGAAAAAGAACAGAACAGTGTGTTGGTATATTATAGCAAATAACCTTTAGGATTCATACCAGCCCTGTTCCCTTGGGAATCTGGAGTTTCACAGTGGCAATACTGACAGAGGGGAAAGGAGTGAATTGGCTGTGTAGCTTAGAGATGTTTGATTTCCAGAAGTTTATAAAACTGAGCAGCTGTCAGTGATGGACCTGATTTTTAAGACTCAGAAGAAACATAGTCCAGGAACTCCTGTGTGAGAGCAGAAATGCAGAGGAGGCAATTTGTATTCTGTCTACCCATAAGCGATGACACATGGTGTGTGCTCCAGAAACTGAATACCCAGATGAATTCAGATTTCTTTGTAAACTCCCCAAAGCAAGTTTATAGCAGTGTATTTTTGAAATACTGCTGCATAGGTTGTCCTGGGAGACTTCAAAACTGAGCCTTTTGGCTGGACTGTTAGGATTTTAGGTAAGTGTACCTGTGTGTTTATATGTGTGTGTGTGTGTGTGTGTATATATATATATATATATATAATTTGACTTGAAAAAAAATAAACAAGTGATTGTGTGTCTCAGATACAGTTGTTTTCCCAAGCAAGTTACTGGAAGCCAGTATTTGATTTTTCTTACATTACTGGTATTGACTCGCTGTGTGATGATTTAGCCTCGTGATGCTGTAAATTCAGCTGAGAACAGCACTATGTGAGATCAGTGGCTCCATTGCCCTTGCTTTAATTTTATCTTTTTAGATATTGTAGCTGTAAATCTGTAGAGGGATTTAGGATGAAGCTGAAGAATAACCATCCATGATTTTATTTAACTGCTCTATGCCACATAATTCCAGCTTCTATTTTCTTTTCCTGATGCACAAATCCCAGGTATTGCAGTTCATGTGAAACAGAGACAGCCTGTTACAGCAAACTCAGAATCTCCTACAGCCAAGTGGAACGTAAAATTTATCTTATCTTCACATGAAATTCTAGTAATAACTGTCCTGGACTGTATTTGTGCCTTCCCACCAAAGGCACATCGTGCTGGGCTGGGTTTTGCAGAGGAAGGATCATCATTAACTAAGACACTGTTAGCAATCAATGAACGATGGTGGGCAGTGTAACTGCAGCTCGGACCGTGTCCCGTGTCACTCCTAACCTGTTTTTCCCCTCGCAGTTACTATGTGGGCGAGCTGCTGTAACTGGTTCTGTCTGGACGGCTCAGCCGAGGAGATGCAGCCGCCGCCGCCGCCCGCCCGAGCCCAGGCCTATTCCAACCCCGGCTACAGCTCCTTCCCCTCGCCCACGGCTCCCGAGCAGAGCTGCAAAGCCTGCGGGCTGCACTTCGACAGCTCGGCCAGCAAGGTGAGTGCTGGCGGTGTTCAGCTGCTTCCCCGAACCGCTCGGGGAGGAACCAACCGCTCCTTAGAGGCCTCTGCTTTGAGGACATTCCACGTGGGAAAAGACTTCTGGGTCTTCAGTCGTTCTTTCGCAATTAGGCATCCTTAATGCGACTGGAAGTGCTTCTGTAGGCTTGGCTTTGCCGGGCCTGAAAGAAGAAAGGCAAGATGCTGATAATCACTTAAAGGAGCATTAGCTTAAACGTGATTTATTGTTGTTTAAAAACACTAATGTCCTTTAAAAAAGAAATACCTACTTTAGTAATGTTTTTGCTTTCATCTGCTCCAGCTAAAAAGCCAGGGAAGTTTATTGTGGGTGTGTGTTGAATTGCTGAAGCAAAAAAAAAAAAAACCAAAAAACAAACCCAAATCCAACCCCAAATTTATATATTATCTTGTTTGTGAACTCCATTTGTGAGTATATAGATGCCAAAATAATTGCTGCCACGAGACTTTTAGTTCGACAGCAAATCCTGCCTGGATTTGTATTGTTTGGGCATGGTGGGTCCTGTAATGCTGCTTGAAAATGTTTTAGGGAGGAAAGTTGTTCTGCATCCACATTCTGTGGATCTGCAGCATGTTACTGAACTTAGGAATGTGAGAATGCACAACTAATACTGAATTTTGGCCAAAGCTCTTTTAGGTTAGATGGGAAAGTTCATAACCTGGTTTTCCTTGCACCTTTTTATTCATGCATGAGGATACATGTGGGAAATGGTAAGACTTGGCAGGGCTGTTGCTTTCCTCTCACAGAACAGGGATGTTGATGCATTTTTGCACTGAGAAGTGATACATTTGGGGTATTGTAGGTATGCTTGGACTTTTCCTGGTGCTGGGGCAGCTGGGATGGTGCTGTCCCTGCACAGGACTCTGCAGTGTTGTGTTCAGCATTGCCCTCATCGATGTGATGCATCCTCACAAATACCTGTGGGAAGAGTTATCCTGGATCCAGTGCCTGCTGTTCTGCATTACAGCAGTGAAAGCTTGAATGTTGGCACTTGGTGTTCTCCTGCACATGGAGAAGAGCCAAGGGAACCAGAACCCCATCCTGGTGTCTCTGGGAGATGGGCTGTCAGAGCAAACACCCACGAACAGCTTCCATCCTGGACACGACCTGACCTTTTAGGAGCAGGCTTTAATTGATAACAACACTTTAATCATTCTGAAGAGCCTCCAGTAACTGCCCTTGTAGTCAGAGTTCAGCAAATACATCAAACCTGTAAAAGCTGCTTGAAGCTGAGCTGTGCCCCACACGTGCCTGTTTGAACACTTGGTGCTCAGATACAGGCTGGGGAGTGTTTCTGTCTGCAGATGAAGCCTGGTGCTGAACTGATAAGCCAGAGACACGCCTGGCTTTATTTTGACTTCTCCAATGTACCATTTGATAACCCAGGCAGGCTGTCACTACTGTTGATGGCCTGCAAGGAACACTTTGGATAACTCAGCCCTTGTGCTGGGCTTGCTTACGTGACACCTAAAGATGGGAGTGCTCCAGCAGGGCTTTTCTGGCTGGAAGGCCCTTGGCAATGCAGAGGTTCCCTTTGGAGCAGGTTTGGCAATCTGCAAGGTGTGGGGAGGCTTCCCCCTGCCAGAGAAAAGTGAGGTTGTTTGGGGTTTTTGGGGTATTTTGTGGGGGTTTTATTGCTGTTTTGGTTTTGGTTTTGTTTAGGGTTTTTTCATCTCAGTTCTTCTGATTTCTGCCAGAACTGATTCCTGCCCCCCCAGATGGGCAGTTGAGAGAGGGCAAGTTGTCAATGAGGTTATTTTCCACTTCTCTGCCTTTGTGAAGTGTTTGTTCCCCTGCCCTAGACACACAAACAGATCCTGTCTCTGCCCTGAAAACTTCTCCAGAAACAGGATTGCTCCTGCAATCACAAGGTCAGAATAAATTACATATCAATGGCTTTTATAATGACCAAGCTAAGGAAAGCTTCTCAAATCTGGATGTTTTGTGGGAATTGCCCTTCCTGCCTTGCTTTGTGATTGATGAAAGTCACTTTTCCTTGGCAGGCCCCCAAACAGGCTTCTTGAGATGAGGTTTCAAGTTTGCATGACCAGAGATTCTCTCTGTGGTAGAAATTTTCATGTCTTAAAGTGCTTGGGCAGGAAATGGGGATTCTTTCCATTAACTGTCACTGTAAGTGTATTCCAGGGTCTAAATGAGAGGCCTGTTGGTGTTAATTGTAAGGGTGTGTGGGGAGCCAGGGGGCTGCCAGGGGATCAGAAGGAGCTTTTGTAAGCAAGCAGGGTATTTACACCCTGTAAAACATGAGAAACATCTGCTCTCTTTGAACTGTGTAGTTAGAGATGTTCTTTAATCACTAGAACCTATTATAAAACAATTTTTTTTTGTCCTTGAGTTTGTTGCTTCTCCAACTCCACGTGTGTTCTTTTCCTTGCACAAAGGAAGGAGCAGGATGTCAGGATTTCATAGGGGTGCTTGGCTTCTCTGAGACTCTGAATCACCTTCTTTAACCAGCACTGAAACCACTTCTTTCTTCCCTCAGGGCTTTTTAAAAGGCACGTAATGTGGCTGTTCTGCTGCTATTCCTATTGGAAAATGTAGAATTTGCCTTTCCAAAGTGTTGAACAGTCAAGTTTCTGCAGAAGTCAACACGGACTGTGAGTGCTTGGAACTTCTGAAAATCGAGCCCTGAGTGACAAGATCAGAACAGTATCAAATATAAACATTAAACAACAGAATTTAATCTGTAAAGTTTTTAAATGTCTGGGGCCTAATATTTCCAAAACTTCCAACACTTTCTGTCTAGCACTAACTGGCACACAGTGGGTGTATTATTTTCAAAATAAGCTATTTTTGTTGTTTAAATAAACGCTGAGTTCTTTGATGTCTGTCAGACACTGTAAGCTTTGCTGTTCCCTTTCCCTCTTATGGTGAAAGAAAGATTCATTTAGTGATTGCAGCAAATTGGAGGGGGGAAAAAAGGGGTTGGGGAGGGAGGTCATTTATAGCAAGTATTACATTTATGAAAGAGAGAAATGTTTTTTTAAGTAGTTCCCTCCAATGCTGGAATTTTCTGAATGCACCGAGCAATATGCACAAGTAGCTGGAATCCACGTGCAAGACAGAGATTCCCTTAGAGAGATGTCCTGATTTCCTCTGGCTCAAACTGAGTGAGCAGGTGTGGGAAACTCCTGCCAGGTGAGGGAACTGACTGGGAATATAATGCTCCATTCTGGGGAAATGGGATGTGAGTGGGGCTTCTCCAGGAACCGTGAGGAAGGCAGAGATCTGCTCAGGGATCAGTCCTTTTCCTCATTTAGGAGCACAGGGAACAGACTTGGCCCTTTTCCCTAAATCCCAAGGATTTGGTTGTGCTTTCACAGAGGCTGCTGCTCCCTTTGGCTCCCGGATGGGAGGTCACCGTGTCCCGCTGGCACAGGACGGGTTTGATTCCTTTCCCCTCTCTTTACCAGCACATCTGCTTGGACTGTAAGAAGAATTTTTGCACGTCCTGCTCCAACCAGCCCGAGGGGGGGCCCCTGCTCTGCCACCTCTGCCAGCGCTTCCGAGCCACGGCCTTCCAGCGGGAGGAGCTGATCAAGATGAAGGTGAAGGACCTGCGAGACTACTTGGCCCTCCACGAGATCTCCACAGAGTTTTGTCGTGAAAAGGAGGACCTGGTGTTTCTGATCCTTGGCCAGCAGCCTGTAATTAGCCAGGAGGATCAGATAAGAACAAACACATTTAATACCAGAGCCTCTGGACAGCAAGACTTTGTGAGTCACCCCCCAGCCAGCCTGTCCTCTTCTACCTCACTCGAGGAGTCTTCAGTGTCTACAGAGCCCATCTCAAGTTCAGTAGCTCAGGAGCACCAACAGGTACAGTCTCTGGCCAGAACCATCCTTTGCAAACTCGTTCATCTCTGTTTTGGATTAACTCCTAAGGATGTTGCCTGTGGTTTTGCTGTGTAAAGCTGTGACTTGCTGTCACTAATTTTGATGTGCCATTCATTAGTGGATTTTAATTTGGTGGGCAGTGCTGAGTATGTCAAGCATTCACTCTCAGAGCCAACAGCACTAGTTTGGGATGGGTTTTCTCTGGTCCACACTTGTACTGCCACAAAGATGCTCCTGTGGCTGGTCCTTTGGGGCTGAGAACTCCTGACAACTGTATGCAGGTGTAATGAAATGGTTGATATTGTTCTTTAATTCCTGTGCCACACAGTCTAAAGCACTTTGGGAGCTAGAACTGATGAGAAAGATGATAGGAAGTGGGTGAGGTTTTTGGTGTCTCCTGCACTCAGATCAATAGAAAACAAACCAAACAAACCCTGAGTCTGTCACCAAGTCTTCGGTTTATGATGAACCTGCAGTTCTGACAAACCTCGTCAGGGGCATTTGAGCTTAATTATTTTTTATTGACCTTGCTTTGTTTGTCTTTCTGCTTTCTGCTGTGGGAAGTTTACTCAGTGTTTGACATCTGCTCCTTGTCCTATTACAAAGTTAATAGGTGTATTTAGTTCCCTGAAAATGTGTGTACCTTCTGCTTCCTCAGCAGATAAGTCTAGTTCAAAGGAGGAGTTTTCCTGGGAGAACGTTTTTTTACAAATCATTAAAAGGCATTTTAATTCCCTGGTTTTCTGGATATTGCCATTCCAGTTTTTACCAGCTCTGTTTTCCCTGACTGCCCCGTGATACATTTCAGCTTCTTGTCTCTACTTGCATGACATCCTGCTGCAGCTCGGGCTCTTTGATGGTTATTGTTCCTCTTGTGCTCTGTAAATATTAACAAGTCCCCACCTGGATAAGTAGGATGGTAACATTACAGTCTCTTTGTCAGTAGGAAACCAGAGGGGAAGGGTGGCTGCTGAGGCTGAGTCAGATACAATTACACTGCTCATTTTATGGAGAGCCCAGAGCAGCTGCTCAGCTTTTTTCCTCCAGCTCTGTTGCTGCTGGTCCTTCACTCAGAGTCTCCTGTTTGCCCACTCCAGAACCCACCTGAGGAGGGGTTTGGTTACTGTGAAGATCTGGAGACTCTGAGCTGTGTTAGAGGGTTGTACAGAGCCTTGCACTGAGAGCTCATGTACTGTCAGAGCTCTGACATCACAGCAGTGTGACACTCAGGGAAGGATTGCATATATACACACATAAATATGTATATATATATATATACATGTATAAATTTGGTCTCCTCCTGATCCAGCCTCACAAGAGCATCATGTGGGATTTTACTGCACAGGTTCTGTACTGAGGCTTTAAAGGTTCAGAGGCTGCACTTCAGTTTCAGAAAGTTTTGTTTGTGTGAGTGCTGCACTGGGAATACTCTGTGAGCATGCCTGGCTTGTACCTTGTGCTGCACTTGTCCTTCCAGTGGCCAGGGATTGAAGGGACACTGCACTGGAGCTGATTTCCCTCCGGACACCCACAGACACATCGCTGGTGAAACCTTTATCTCCTCTTGTAGGCAAATGGTCACGTGCCTCCGAGCCCAGTTGGTGTGACAGCAGTTGAGGATGCAGCAGAGGAAGCACCAGCAGAGGAGGAGACACAGGTTTGTGTGCCCTGGAACTGGATGACAAGGAATACCGGGTTTCCTAGGCCGTATTTGCTACCACAGGGATGAGTGGCTGAACAGTAACTGAGACTGACCACTGGCAGACCCAACCAACCCCCTCCTGTGGCAGCACCTTGTCCTGCACGTAGAGAAGGAACTGGTGTCACTTGGACACCCATAATAGAAATTATTTCTGTCTTAAGACTTGTATTTCTGACGGAGGAATTCAGAGTAACCAGTTCTATTCATCCAAACACGAGTTCCTGCTCATGCAGATACTGAAAGTTGATTCGAATCGTGGGCTCAGGTGTTGAGGACAAGAATCATTGCACCTTTGTTCCCTTCCAGTCTACAGACTCTGAAGATAACCTGGTGCTGGGGAGGAAGGCTTCCCTCTCCGACCTGAGGAGCGTCGGGGACATCAACGCGCTCTCCGTGCGGCAGCTGAAGGAAATCCTCGCCCGCAACTTCGTCACCTACAAAGGCTGCTGTGAAAAGTGGGAGCTGATGGAGAGGGTGACCCGTCTCTACAGAGAGAAGGACCCTCAGCATCTAGGTGAGAAACTTAGCCAATGTGGGCCTGTTTTCCAGGTTTGCCCTTTTTTGTAACAGTTGTAGAAGGAAATAGAACTTAACATTTCTGTTTCCTGCAAGTGAGGAGGGAGATTTGCACACATCAGAGTGAAAGTAGCTGAACTCTGCTCACCACTACTCGTAGTTATTTGAGGAGAGCCTCCTGGTAGCTTTGGACAGTCACTGCCCTGTGGCAGCAACATGAGAGCTGTGCACCCTTCACCTCAGATGGTGCGTGGCTGTGGCAGATCCCACTGGGCACTGCCTCACCCGCAGAGCAGCTGCCGTGTGCCTGGGCTGAGCTCTTCCCTCTGGACTCATGGTAACTGGGGAAGTGATCAGGGAAATGCCCTGCCCAGGCAGGAAACCACCACCAGAAAGCAGCTGGGAAATTCAGAGCATGAGCTCAGGACAGGCTGCACAGCTGGGGTTGGACTCTGTCTTATGTCAAGAGTGTTCCTGCTGCACACGCTGGGCCTGCTCAGGGAGAGGTGAGGGGATAGAGGGGCACAGAGAATGTACCTGGCTTGACTTTCAGGTGCCAGTTTGCACCTCCAGGGCATTACTTAAAAACCAGACTTGTACATTATTTACAAGAGAAACTTATTTTAACACTGATTTCATAGGTTTGTGCTGTCCACACTACTGTTGTTTCCTTTAACACATCTCTTTAAGCATTGTCCTCTATAAATGATACAAGATTTAAGACACCTGCTTTCGGTTTATATTCTTGTATCTTGTGCTTTTGATAGAGTTTATCCTTCTCTCTTAATCACAGTTGCCTCTGTGTGTGTCCCAGCAATCCTGGTGCTTGTGTAACACCAAAGAAAGTGGCACGAGGGGCTGCTGCAGGTGCAGCACTAGGGAGCCAAACTCTGCACACATTCCAGGGCTGTCTTAAACATGTCTTGAGACATGCCTTTGGAGTGCTGCTTATCTCTGGGAAGCCTTAAGTGTTGTGTAAGCTCAGGATAGGAGAAAGTTTTTTGCCAGCTGTTGAACCTGTCGTGCTCAGAGCCCAGCCTGAGCCTCTCGTGGGGATCAGCAGAAAGCAGTTTTGGTTTAGCAACTCCCTCAGGGCTTTCAGCCCCTGCCTGGTAACGTTTCTGTCCCAGCTGGTTCTCACCAAATCACTTTCTCTTCTTCTGTTGCAGTTTCTGACACGGACGATCAAACTGGTAAGTGATATCCTTAATCCTGTATTTGTTTAGGTGGGAAGAACCCTCCGAGATCAAGTCCAACTGTTTCCCCAGCACTGCCAAGGCCACCACTGACCATGTCCCCAAGTGCCACATCCACGTGGCTTTTAAATCCCCCCAGGGTTATTTCTTCCACCACTGCCCTGAGCAGCCTCTTCCAGTGCTTGACAACCCTTTTGGGACAGAAATTTTTCCCAATATCCAATCTAAACCTCCCCTGGCACAACTTGAGGCCATTTCCTCTTCTCCTGTCGGTTACTTGGGAAGAGAGACCCACGTTGCTTCACTGGTCTCATTGCTGAGAATCTCAGTGGTGTTTGTTTTCATCACACACAAATCACTGTGGAAAAGCCAAAACTTCTGATGGAGCAGATACAGACACAAGGAGGGTTCTTCTGCAGCCCTTCCACGTGCAGGAGTCCATTAGGGAACCCTTCAGTAGAGCCCCCTGGGCTCACACAACCCCAGCACACCTCCCTTTGTGTCACCAACCCGTGGTCTCCTGTCCCCTCAGGTGGTGCTGGGCAGCCCAGCGCCGAGGACAACCTGTGCAGGATCTGCATGGATGCTCCCATTGACTGTGTCCTGCTGGAATGCGGGCACATGGTGACGTGCACCAAGTGCGGGAAGCGGATGAGCGAGTGCCCCATCTGCCGGCAGTACGTCATCAGGGCCGTGCACGTCTTCAGGACATAACCGGGGGCAGGGCTGGCCATGCCCTGAAGCCTCCTCTGCCGGGAGAGGAACGGTCCACATCCTACAGATACTTACAAACAGACCCCGCTGGAAGGGAGGGAAGGAGGAAGCCTTGGGGAAAACTGTCCTGCTCCAGCCACGCCCGACTCTGCTCTTCCCACCATCGTGCTTTACACCACAGTGCCTGCACTCCCTGGAGCTCAGTGCCAGCAACCATGAACCACCCACATCCCAGGATGACTCCATCCTCTCTGCTGAGGACAGATGGATGCTCGGCTTTCCACCACAAAGATCAGCTCCAGAGGCTTTGTATTTTCCTCTGAATAATAAAAGTGAACTGGGGTCTCAAAAAGTGTCCTTTGTTTTGCTGCTCAGGCTACACCCAGCAACAACTTGGTTTTCAAAGGTTAAAATGTCACTGTGCTTGTTAATTTTATTTTTAATTTAATGTAAAACCATGTTATGCTTGCAGGACAGGCAGACTGCCTCCACTTTCCCTAATTCCAGCCTAGTGCAATTGTGGAAAAACGTATCATTTTATGTGAAGGTTGCCTTTGTATTATTGAGAACTGTTGGGAGGGAGGCTCTGTGAGCATCCAGCCTGGCCCTGTGCGGTGGTTTTTGTTTGTGCCACGGGGAGGGTGGGGTCTGGTTTGATTGTTGTTGACTCTGACTCCACAGACTTCCCAGCACAAACTGAACTGCCTTCACTTGCTGAAGGAGCTACAAATCCAAGGCTTTGAGTCTTCCCGAGGGTTTAGTGAGGGAACCACTCAGCTGGAGAGCAGTGAGGACTCCAGTGCTACACAATCATTATTTAAGTACAGGTGACTTTTTCTTTTCAGAAGGGAATCATGGAAGAAAGCCATGAGCAATCACCACTGCAGAGCAGCTTCCCCCCCTCCTCCTGGGCTGTTTTACAGTTCTGTTCCCCTCAGGCTGTTTATTAAAAGCCATTTATTTTGTGCTTTTTGCTGGTGAGGGTGGGGAGGAGGGTCCCTGCTCTGATCCCTCACAGCTCTCCTGGGCAGCGTGTGCAGGTGGAAGAACTTGCCAGAGATGATTGTAACTGGTGTATTTTCCCCTCAGTGTGTTTGGCTGCTGCACAGCCAGGCTTCAGAATCTTCATGCCTTAAGTTTGCATCACTGTGGGATTGTGCTCTCATTCCAAGGCACCTGTGAAGCTGGGAACCTCCTGCTGCAGGGTTTTGCTGTCTGGCTCTGGGGAGAGAGGTGATCACTCCATGTTCAAACCCAGCCCCTGCCTGGCTGCCAGCAGGGACCAGCACAAATCCCAGTGTCCCCCCTCAGCTCCTGGAGCACTGGAAGGGCAGTTGCAGGAATAGCACCAAAGCTCCTTGTGCAGTGAGTGATAACAATGTCAACAGCAAATGAAACTGTGTATTTTTACCAGGGACTGTTGCATGAGTAGTAGTTCAGCTGCAGGGAGTGGAGGGTCTGTGCTCTGCTGGAGCCAGGAAAGCACCTGATTTGAGGAATCTGTGGCTCAGGAGGCAGCAGAACCCCTGCAGTGCTGAGGGGGTCTCAGAACTCCACCAAAAGGCAGCAGCTGCTGCAGTTTACTGAACTGAACACTGAGTTTTACCTCTTTGCCTGGTCAGGTTGTTCTTTAATCTTTAGCTTAAGGTTTAACAGGTTCCAGGACGAGAAGGAACTGGTACAATTCCGTGCATCATGTTAAAAAGAAAGGTAAGCAGTGGCTGTGTTTCCTCTTGGGGAGGGCACAGGGACCTCCAGGAGGTACAGGAATACACAAAGTGCTGAATTTAGTAAATTCACTGTGAAAATTCATGTTGTCATGTTTTTCAATAAACTCAGGGCTGGGGGAATTTAGCAGGAAGAAGATTATTCCCCTAGGGACAGATGTGCTTTTCCTTGTAGAGGGTAGGCTTACTTTCTACAGCACATAAATCAAGTTGCAGATCAATGCCTGAAATTTTAGGGATGAGAAGATACACCCAGTGACTCCAGAACTGCTTTCTGAAGGGAGGACTCCTTGTAAAAATGGGTTCTCTACTTATGGATATGTGTGACTTGTTTTTCAAGGAAAATCAAAATCTGGGGGAAACTGATTAATGATGCAAAGGAATATAATGTTCTGAACTAATAAAGTAAATGGAAATATTTATGTGCTTTATGTACACTGTACATTGTTTAAAGACTTTAAAAGTTAATATTCTACTTGAAAGGGCGTGTTATTCTCTGTTAAATCCCCTTGGTACTATGATGGTTAAACTTACTAGTTTTGGTACAGAAGTTTGGTTTATAATTTTATAATAAAGTTGAAATGTGATTTAGTTAACCTGGTTTCTGACTCTGTTGCAACAGGTGGGGAGAAAGCAGAGATCCTGCAGCTACTGCTGAACCTCAGCCAGAAATTGCTTAAATATTGTTGGTGGAGGGTACAAAGTATAGAGGAGGTTGAAGGAAAAAAGTTACCTGACAACAACTGCATTTGCCATTTGCAAAGCAGTTCAAAGGAATAACTATTTCCAACCCCCCCTTCCTTATTTCATTAATATTCAAGCACTTGCAATAGTTTTGAACAGCTTCCCAGGAGGTCTCAGTTATCCTAAAAGATTGAGGTGCTGGAGTTCCTTCCTCAGCTTTTACTTGTTGAAACATGAATAGCAGAGCACAGGAGCAACATATTCTGGAAAACAAACCCTCCAGGAGGACACTTGGATAATGCCACAGTAGCTGCTCTAAGAGAAGCTTATTTGGTGTCCTGGTTTTAACATGAAACCTACACCAAGGTGTAAATGCTCCTGTTGCAGCCCTGAGTGGAGTGTCAGGGACAGGAGAGAAAAGGCAAAACCAGGAGGAGGACATGTGACCTTTGTGTAAATTGTACCCACACAGCAAAATCATCCTGGCACTGCAGCCAACAGTGTCACACAGTGGGTGGTCTGTTTTCCTGCCCAGGCAGAGAAAAACCTTTGGAAAGTAAGTCCTGAGAGCAAAGGAGAAACTGCTTCAGTTTTATTTCTTTATCTATAAAAATACCCAAACTTTAAAAACCCAAGGAGACCAAACCAGCACCCAGGTGAGTGCAGTGGTCTCCAGTACGGGCAGGAAAATGGGATTCAGCAGTGACCTTTCATCAGAGAGTTGTTTTAATTTATTCCACGGGGTTGCTGTGGATCTTTGTGAGCACCTCTGCTGGCATTTTATGTCTGTCCACAACTGCACCTTTCCTTCCACCTACCTAGCTCGGGGCTGCTCCTGGGCCAGGCCTGTCCCTGCCCCGCTAGCAGGGCGCCACCAGCCTCCTCTTCCGGATGCATTCCCAGATCCACCTGGGAGACACACGCTGAGCTCCAGGGTTGTCCTCAGTGTCCCCGATGACGTGGGTGGCCGAGGCCGTGTCCCCCTCTGCCACCAGGTCCCCGTCGTAGGCGATGAAGTAGCGCCGCAGTTTGTCGAAGTCCCGCACGGAGGGCGGCAGGTACAGCCTCACCCCCGTGAAAATGTCCAGCAGTGGGTGCTGGGGGAGAGAAGGGGGGTGGATTTCCAGATGGAAGGCAAAAGTGAACAGACAACTCCCCTGCCTCAGTCTCCTCCCACCCCACAGTGGTTGCTGTCCACCCGACTGTACCTTTTTTCCGTTGTCCTCCATCTCCGATGCTTTTCTCTTCTCTCCTCGTTTCTCCTCGGATTTCTGAGGGGATGCAAGGATTGCTTTGCTCTCTAAAAACAAACAAACTTGTCTCATTTCTGTGCTCTGTCCAGATACTGGCTGTGTATTAACATGGGGGGAGAGAGTGAAGAGAGTAAAAGGAAAAAGTTGCCTTCCCTCTTTCTGGGAAATCCATGGATTAGAATGTAACGAGTAAGACACATTTTTCTACTGAAAGTGGTGTGGGGGAACCTCCTGGCCTCCTTTCCAGGATGCTGCTGCCACTTGCCCTGTGTGCTGTCACCACACTGTCCTTTCTGAAACTGCTCAGCAATTTGCTTCACGTTATTCCCCAGTGACAAACACAAACTCAATTTACCTGGAAATCACCTCCATGCAGGTGTCTCATTATATGCATGAATTCCATCCAAATAAAATTAAACACTGGTTCATGGCCAAAACCATCTAACCAAAGGGCATGTGACGTGCAGGAACAGGAGCAGGGAACACCAACCTAAAAACAGCATCATCAGTGCTGCTTCCATCCACCTTTTCCCAATCCCAGCACACCTCAGAGCTGTGGCTACTCAATCCATGCTGGGAACAGCACAGGCCAAACTAAGGCTCTAAACAGCTTTGCCCATTCTCCCTGACATGCACGTGGAAGGTGCTGTGGGAGCTTCAAGCCTCTGACAGAAGGCAAAGATCCTGACCCAGCCTGCCCAACCCCGGAGCACACCCCCCAAACCCCCTCTCCTGGGAAGCACCATCTTACCTTCTGGCTTCTGGGCTTTCGCAGGTGACTTGTTTGGGGGGGTTTTAATACTGCTGTGAGGTGTGGAAGACCTGGAATTCCCCTCATTCTCTCCACTGCTGCCTGCTGTGGACTCGTCCTCCTCCCCGGCACCAACGCTGAAATCAGCCTTCTCCTTGGAGAGCTGGTACAGCTCCTGCCCCCCAGAAACAGAGTGTGAGTGTCTGACACCAGACAGGAGCTGTCACTGTAATTACAGGGGCTCCTCTTGTTTGTTCCCCCCTGAGTGTTTGCTCAGGTGATTTTTCTCCTGCACCTCTTTGTAGCCATTTTCCAGTCAGCTCTGTCCAAGCTCTCTGCATTCCACCCCTCTGCCTGGCATTAAGGGAAACCACACAGGGAGGAATGAAAAGCCACATCCCCATGCTCTGCTGCAGAGCAAGACACTAATTCATCAGAGCCTGAGGGATGAACAGTGCCTGCTGCTCTCCCTGGAACAGCCCATCTGCAGAGGGCACCGTGCCTCTCTCTCCCCTACCTGCACAGGCTGCAGGACAGCAGGGGGGCTGGATCACTCCTGGTTTCCACAACAAGCACTGGCAGCTGCTGCCAGCACCCCACAGGCTGTGTGAGGACAGCCCAGACTGCAGGAACTACCTGAGCTCAGAGCTCATCCCCAGCTCACTGCAGGGCTGGCACCAGGACAGTTCCATCAGCAGAGGAGGAGGAGTGGGTGGGTGCAGCCCAGGGATCCTGGCTGGCTCCACTTGCCCCAGGACTGGGCCAGGTTATCCACATCCTATTCCCAAATGATCTCCCGATTGGAAAAGTGAATGACCCTAAAGAGAATGAATGCCATCTCCTTGAGGAAGGCAATTCCTCACCACAGGGTGTTACAGGAGCTCATAGAACCAGCTGCCAGCACAGGCTTTCCTGACAGGGCCCAACACAACAGCTC